ATCTCAACATGTTACTCTAAAGTTAATTTTGTTGGGTTTGTTAAATGATGATGCTTAATTGGGATTGAGAATGCTGTCAACCATTCTCAATGTTTAACAACCACCATGATAGTAATTAAATTTATTCCTTTGAAGTAGAAAAAAATTGGCTTTACGCAAAAACTGTAACCATAGAGCTTTCCACCAGCCAAATATGCATATAGTATAGCTATTTCATTCCATTACTCTCTATGTGTTACCTTGTCAGCATATTCCATGTGCTGACCCGTTCTCGGGCTGCAACATTAATGTCGCAGACTTTTCAGACGACGATTAAGGAGTTTTTAGGTCGTGGTTCTATACTCAGTGATGCGGTTGGAGTTGATGGACTCACTTATCTTCCAAGTCTTCCGCTGTTATCGTTATTAGATGGCCTTAAGCCATATTTATTGTAATAAGTTCTCTTTTGAGACACTCGATGTAATAAGTGTGTGATTGCTACTCTGCTATAAATCCTCCGAGTACTGCGTGGTGTCAGCATTACTGATCCAGGGATGACACCGAAGCACAGAGATCAGACTGTTTGAGGTCTGGTCGCTACAAGACAGCTACTTGAGGATGTTGAAGCCCCTTGTGTGATTGGTGCAGATTGCGGGTTTGATGTTTTCTAGGAAAAGCTAGCTACTACCAGCAGTTACTACGGTTCCTCCCTTTCGGAGGGTTGTTTGGGAACCGGCTGCACTTATTTGGGTTACGATCATCCCCAACAAACAGAGAACTTTTCTTTGGCTTGCATGCAGAGGCCGGCTCAATGTGTGTTTATCCATGGTCAAGAAGCAATGGAGGAGCATTGGGCACCACTTTTGTGATTTGTGCCCGGGAGCTCAATGTGTGGATGACTAATACTGAGATGTGCTCCGGCCCACTATATTTGGACCAAATTTGGTGGCGTACACCACGCGACGAACTCCCGCTTGCTGCTGGTGTTTAGCAACACCCTACAAGCCATTGATCGCCATTGGTACATGCTCTTGGCGCGCGTGTACTGCCTCATCTGTAAGAGCAAGTGACCTATTCTACACACCCAGCTTCCTGAACAAGAACGTTCCCTTGCATCACCCCTTTAATTTTGTTTTTCCATAGATTAATTTGTTTTTTATTCAGGGCAAGAATGATTCCATCTGAATCCGAAATTGAACTTTGTAAGTTTTCTCAATCTATTTTATTCCTTCTCAGATTAGCAACGAGTAACCTTTTTAATTTCAATTTTAATTTCCTCACTTTGTTTGCTATTTTGTTAGGCCAACGGCTATTCCGCAGAAAAGGAAAACCGAGTAAACTTTCATTAGTTAATGGGTCTTAGTTTTGCTCTGTTACAATTCTGTTTTACTTTTATGGTTATAACTAAACTAGAGGACTTGATTTGCACTTCAGTTAATGCAGATGGGATGACAAGGTTGACTGCATGAATTTTTCTCATTACAATGCAGTGGTCCTTTGTTGAAGGATCCATCTCGATAAATTCTACTCCCTCCGTTCCTAAATTATTGTCTTTCTAGACATTTTAAATGGCTACCACATACGGATGTATGTAGACATATTTTAGAGTGTAGATTCACTCATTTTGCTCCGTATGTAGTCACTTGTTGAAATATCTAGAAAAATAAATATTTAGGAACGGAGGGAGTAAGTTATACAATTTTGGGTGTTCCTAGATACCCATGCAGGGGAGATAAAACTGCAGTTAAAGCTAGGTATATTTCAAATCCTATCTCGCATGGTCTAGTTATCAGGAAATTTATTCCAAACACACATTTTGGTTTAGCTTTCTAGATAAGTTTCCTTATGATTTTTTGTTTGTGAATTAATATAGGTTGCAAGTATGCATATATGATTGTACTCTCTTTTTTAGGTTTATGTTATTGAGATATAGATCTACATTTGATCTGTTCCACATGTATGTTTTTACTCAATGCACACATGTAGATCAGTCCATATGCTTGGAATCAGAGGTGCAGCAGGTTGGACATCCTTTTAGGAGCAGTCGAGCAGAGGATCTTCATACCAACTTGGATGTATGTGGTTTTATGACACATAGACCTATTTCATGATTTTAATATTGTAATCTTACTGTGTGTTTGGGGCTAAATATGTAGAATATTATGTTTGAAAAATAATAACACATGCATATTGCTGACTAATAATAGTATGCCTTGCAGCATAGTACATGGTCCTGCTTTTGAGTGGACAACTGATCATGCCTATCTAGATCAAGGACTCATTGCAAGAAGAAATCAGGTGAAACAGAAGAGTACTGTGAGTTTCCTAGATCACTGACATATTATGCATACGAGCCATATGTGCTATAACTAGGTACTAATGGCAAGAAGGCCTGCTCGACTGGAAGATTCTCTCTCTTTCTATATAAACTGAAAAGAAACCCAGACATTTAGAGAAAGAAAAAGTGAGGGCTATGAGGAGAGTTTGGACATGGTGTTATTTTCCCTGGTCTCACAAAAAATGAGATTGATCCACGAAAATAGAAATAGTAATGTGTGAAAGTTTTGATCCAACTCATTTGTATTTAATTCAAATGGGTTTTAAATAGGAGTGGTATTTGGAAGGTCCAGAAAATGTTAAGATTTGGTGAGGCTTCGATACATGCAGAAAAAATTATTGGCAAGGTTTTGAGAAAAATATGTAGGTTTTGATGGAATTGGCTTGAGGAGTTTTTGGAAGATGAAAGTTTGGACAAGTTTGAATCAAATTCAAACAAGTTTTTTTCCTCCTGTTGTAACGTGCGGGCATGTTTACTATATCAATAACTGGAAATATAAATTATATAACTGAACATACTGTAATGAACTTCCGAAAAGAGCTTGCATCGAGCTTCAAACTTCAAGTGAGTCTGCGTGAGCTCCTACTGTATCTCGGAGTAACAGCTGACCGCGCCCGCACGCGATGTTGTCCCGTGGGGAACAACGACATGGAGAAGCTCTCACTCATAGGCTCAGGCTTAGGTGCCTCGGACGCAAGTGGTGCTACCCATAATAGCTCTTGCCTCACCGCCGGTGGCAGCGACGGCCTCGGACGGCAAACCACGTCTCACCCTATGTGACTCGTCTACGCGGCGGCAGCGGCGCACAAGGAAGTACTAGAGAATAGGAAAAGATAAGGAAGTGCCCTTCCTGGGGGTAGGAAGTTGAGTTCATGGGTCCTTCTCCATGGTGCAAAGCCCAAATAGTTAAAAGAAAATTCTTCCCAACCAAACAACCAACTATCTATAAATATTTCCCCCAAAATCACTTTTTACCAAAAAAATCATTTCAAAATGTACAATAGAAAAACATTCTTTAAAAAAACATCTGTTAAAAAGTTAATTTATAGAGAAATGTTCCAATTTTCATAAAAATTGGAACTATTCTTCAAAAGGTGTTACATTTTCAATGAAAACATTAACTTTTATTAAAAATAAGGAAATTTCCATGTTCAACATTATTATCAACCTTTATTAAATTTGGACATAAAAAATGGTGCAAAATGACATATGAAGCAGGTTGTGGCCCTTTTTTATCGCCCGGTGCAACGCACGGGCATTTGTACTAGTTATTCTAATTTGGCATCTGATTTGTTTATTTTTCATTCCCAACTTTTTTTTGAGGGGTTAACCAAGTTTTTATTGCTCATAGACCACATTAAGTGGGATACAAAAAAGATCATGGGGTTCCAAAAGCCACAAGTGCCTACCCTGATCCAAAGAATGTGCAAACTTGGCTAACCTATCAACATCGCTATTAGAGGCTCTGCCTTCGAAAGTAATATTACAATTGAAGACTAATAAAAGATTCCTGATCTTCGATATGATTGCTCCGTATCTTCCATTGCTTGCTGTCTTGATATCATTAACTACTTGCTTGGAGTCCGATGCTATGACAAAATCATTCAGTAGTAAATCTTGCGCAAGTGCTAGACCTTCTCTGCATGCAATAGCTTCTAGTGTTGCAGCATCAGTTATCCCATGTATCACCAACACATCTATATAGTCTGTTATAAGTGAACTAAATCAGTGTGCTAAAAGTAAACGAAAAAACCACATGACAAATGTGGTAAGCAATCCAAACTATTTAAAAAAAGTAAATGAACTGATTTAGAACACAGCCTTACGTAATTCTATTTCTATCCAATCAACCATTCGTTGCTTTAGATAGATGCATTCTGGACTGTCCGATTACTGAACCTTGAGGTGTCGCTGTTGTTCTGTCTCTTCTTCAGTTATCTTCAGAGGGTACTAGGCCTGACATTAGGGGCAAAAGGTAGAGCATCAAGTGGAGAACCCGATTTGCGCACTCGAGAAATCCGGCCATGCAGACTTGGAACAAACTACTCTTTCAACGGGTTTGGTAAGAGCGTGCCATCTCCTGCACATAAAGCAAACTAGCCAATGTTGATGGCTATCCAAATCCAACACTGTTTTACAAGTTCAACTCGTGTGTTTGCACCTTCTCTAAGTTTTCGCACAAACAGACCCACCTACCGACCCTACAGTTTTCACACGCATACGTGTCGATGTACCGACGGCTTCCCTACTCAAGGCAGATCATAGCGTACAAAATGGTTAAAGAGTAGAGACAGACACCATGCAGATTGCAAGCTATTCCGCCGCGAGGACGCCAACGCATCTTCAACTTTAGCCTTCCATTTCATTTAGTATTACAGAGACAACTCCATGCTAGGATAGCCAATCCATGCCCTCGAGAAAAGAATATTTCTATCGCAACGCACTGTTGAGATGACACTACATAACTAGAGTTGATTGTCCTCCCTCACCAGAACACACGTACTACCAGTATTCTTCAACCTCAAGCCGACCCGGCCGAGACAAGAAACGGACTATATATTCATGCGCTAGCGCTACTGCTCACTCACAAACACCACCAATTGTGTAGTACGTGCGTGTTTTGCCACGCAAACGCAGTACGCACACTTTTGCCGTCTACTTGGCAGATCTTCGCCCTCCTTTCATGAGCTCGAGTATGCAGGAAGGGATGACAAGCAGTTTAGCTCAAGGATCCTCTCGAGGGAGCGTCGTGGCCGCCGGGGCGTCCTTCAGGGTGTACTACAGCCTCGGCGCCGGCACCGTGCCGTTCGTCTGGGAGACCAAGCCCGGCACGCCCAAGCGCCCCATCGACCATGTCGCTGGCACCGACGACGCGCTACCGCCGATCACACCACCGCCGTTGTACCAGTCCAAGACCATGAGGAGGTGCCCGAGCACAAGGAAGTCATCTTCTTGCTGGCCTCCCCGGATGACGAGCTGGCTAAACATCAGGACCCGACGTCGTCGTCCAATCGCGACACCCGGCTTCCACCAGACCGCGGCGTCGATGATCAACGGCTACGGTAGCGGATTGCCATCCTTGGGTGCTTCTGAGCCCGGCATGGACAATTAGATGTACGTACGCCTAGTTAAAAGGTCGATTGACTGGCTGCTGCACCGGCCCCTTTCCGGTGTTGTTTGAGTATAGTTTTTTTCAGGGTTTTGTTTTAGTATAGTTTGAGTGGTACATATGTATTGTGGTGTTTGTGCTGGGCCTTTAATTTTCATTTCTGTGGTTTAATTCTACTCGCTCTGTCCCATAATATAAGAGCGTTTTTACAATAGTGTCAAAAACGATTTTATATTATGGGACGGAGGGAGTATGTTATTTTCCGATATACAGATTTTATTGAAGTACTTGCTGTTTTGACTTTGGGGGATCAATACTTGGCATACATATATCCCTATGGGGAAATTTTGTTTTTGCCACTCTAGATTTTGCCAATTTTCCTTCTGCCACTGGCTACTCTAGATTTTGACATTTCACTTTTGCCACTCTTAGTTTTTGATTATTATCACAATTGCCATTCTGGTGGAAAAAGCAAAATTTTCAGAGTGGCAATTGTGATACATTTCAAAAACTAAGAGTGGCAAAAATGAAATAAAATTATTTAGCTTTTGCCACAGAATGGTAATTGTGATAATTGTCAAAAGCTATGTGTGGCAAAAGTGAAATGTCAAAATCTAGAATGGCATAAGGAAAATTGGCAAAATCTAGAATGGCAAAACAAAATTTTCCCTATCCCTATCGCCTTTTTCCTGCATGATTGTGTCCAGTCATCATGCTCCGGGGAAGAAGTGGGTATAGCATAACAAGATACACTTTGTAAAATATAAATTTGAAAACTGGAAGGAGTATGACAGGACAAAAGTCAGGAGGAGGATGGTAGAAAGCTACTGAAGCACCTACCTCTGATGTAGTTTTCCCATTGCACTACCGAAGCCAAGATGCTTTTGGAGTTTAAGAAGCGTGAACGAAACTGCTATTTGGTTCAGATTTTGGTTTCTAAGCCATAAAAGAAACGTCTGAATTTGGCCTAATTTCAAGCCATAATCACAGTAGCATGCAGCTGAACGAAAAAAGCTGTTATTCTTGATATTGCAACTTGCAGAATTACCCAAATTATTACTGCAGATCAGATGTAGTATGAAATTCAGAAGCATATAATGGACACTACATGTTGGATAGCATCTTGGTATTACAGATCGAGTATACACACATTAGCTATATGAACATGTATTACGTTCAACGCAATACCCAATTATATCCATACAACACCACAGGCAAAAGATTGATAATCAAGGCAGACCACATTATTTGGGTAATCCTGAGAGATCCAACGAATAGAAACATATTTTTTTTAAAGCAACAAATTTTATTCCTCGGATAATAGACATGTTACAATAGAGTGAGAAATAAAATCAAGGATCATAGAAACCCAAAACATAGAAGACTTTTCACTAAGTGAGTTCTTTATTAGGCTGTGAGCCACTTCATTTGCTTCACGGCGACACTGTGTGTATGAGACACTCCAAAAGTCCAGCCCTAAATGTTTGCACTCAAGTACCATTGCAACATCTGAGTAATATTGAAAAATCTGGGTCAGTTTTTGTCTTTCATAGTCTGTTTTAAAATTTTCCTTGTGTATAATCGCTTTAGTATTTGTCTGTTAAGTGACCGCTCTCATAGTTGAAACAGCAAAGTTCAGTTCCTGTCGCTGGATAGCTGAAAACATGCAACCTCGTTTCTTTGCCTTTATTTCATCTTACACATTTGATCTGCAATAGAGAGCAGACATGAATGCATGGCTAAGTCACTCGGTAACTTTTCTCAGGAAGGCGCCACACTTTGTGCCAGTAAATCGACACCCTGGACCAGAGCGGGAACATGAAGCTGTAATCCGCAGCCTCATCAGGCAGTCCACCTACTGTCAAAGGCAGCCACACGTACCTCGAATCCCTCAGATCGGACGGCTTCCACCGGTCGGCCATGAAGATGAACAGCCCCGGCAACCCCGCAACCGGCAACACGAACGTACCCTGGGAGAAGAACGTTGTCGATCTGTATATCTCGTTCCCTCCCACGAATGGATTCCCCAGCGTCTCCCAAGGCCCCATGATCGATGTCGCCGCGTGAGCCTTTGCAGTGTTCGGTGCCCAGCCCGTGCAACCCGAGGTTATCATGTAGTAGGTGCCGCCGGACTTGAAGAGCGCCGGAGCTTCCCGATACCGTGCGACGAGGATTCTCCGCATGTCGTCGGTCACGTCGAGGTACTCATCGGTTAACCGCGCAATGTGGAGCTCGCTGTTGCCCTTGGATGAATATATCAGGTAGGCCTTCCCGTCATCATCCTTGAAAATGGTCATGTCTTTGCTTTCACAGTTGTGCGGGCGCTTGCTGTAGAGGTAAGTGAATGGTCCTGTGGGAGAATCGCTGCTCGCCACGCCGATTGAGGATTTGGTATAGTTAGCATCGTCTGTGTGCATCCACATCACGTATTTGCCGGTCCGGTTGTTATAGATCACCTTAGGCCTCTCAAGGACATTGGATTTGTGGAGGTCATGAAACAAATTCTTTTCCTCTCCTTGGAGCACAACTCCTTGATTTGTCCAAGACCACAGGTCCTTTGAAGAATAGCAACTTACTCCAACAATGTCAACCTGAAAAGTAGCATGTCTTGGTTAGAATGACAAACTGGGAAATTCTACAGAACATAAGTGGTTTTTTTTCTTCGAAACAGAGGCATAAGATTTGCCTCATCCATTAAATAAGAAGAGAGTTTAGAGTGTTACAGGTGACCCACATACACGGCATGACAATTACTCACACGAAATAATTAGCCCTAACTTTTTAGCACCCGTGGTAACCCAAAGCTTGGCCTCCTCTAGGATGATGTTAAGGAGAATGGGCGGCGGCGCACACTTGTGTCGGAACACCCGAGCATTTCGTTCGTTCCAAATAGTCCAAGACACAAGCATAGTGAGGGAGGCCATGGCTTGTCTATTGGGGTTTTGATTGTCAATTCTCTTATCCCACCATTCATTGACGGAGTCCGCAAGGTGCCAATTGGAGGTGTCCATGTGAGCAAGACCAAGCTTCTGAATGATTTATCTCCAGAGCCTAAGCGTGTACCGACACTTGAAGAAGAGATGTGCACCTGTTTCTTGTTCTCTTTTACATAGCTGGCAAAGGCACAGTTTGCCCAACCACGCTTTTCCAACCGGTCGGCGGTCTAAATCCTGTTTTGTAATGCCAACCAAGCAAAAAACTTCACTTTTGGAGGTGCCCATACTTTCCAAACCATGAGATCCATGGGGGATAGAACCAAGCCAAGAAATTGAGCTTTGTACGCTGTTGACGCTGTGTAGATCCCATCATTGGAGTGCTTCCAAACAATATCATCTTCGATCTGCTCGTTAAGGTGGAAATCATGCACAAGCATCCATAAGGTGAAAAATTCCCGGATGTGGTCGATGGAGATTATGGTGTCAGGCTTGATCTTGAGGATCCATGCATTCCCATTAAGGGCCTCCCGCACCTTTCATTTTTTTCTCCTCGAAGCGTCAAAGATAAGCGGTGCAATATCCTTTGGCTTGCGTCCTAGGAGCCAAGGGGAATCCCAAAAAGGCGTTTTGGCACCATCCCCAATGATGATAGTAGTAGAGGCATAGAAGAACTCGCGGTCGTCGTCGGTGCAAGGGTTGCCAAAACCCACCCATGACTTGTGAGGTTCCTTCGTGTTGTATATATATAAGAAGAAAATTGCAAATTACTTGGTAGGTTCAACTATTGAATATCAATAATTTCAGTATGTGAGTAGCAAGCTAGACATGTACATAGTAGTGCATTTTTTCAACTGGGAAACAAAAAAAAACTTTGTTGGTTCCCATGATCTATTAAGTGTCAGTGCTCTGTACTTCAGGACTCAGGACAGTCAAGTACTCCCTCCGTAAACTAATATAAGAGCGTTTACACTACTTTAGTAATCTAAACGCTCTTATATTAGTTTACAGAGGGAGTAGAACTCTTTCAGAATTCTACTAAACTGAAATTTGCCTCACACCACATCAGAATCAGGCCTCTCTGTTTTAGAAATATAGTACCATATCACTCATGAAATTGACTAGCTGATAATATTAGATGTTGTATCACTGGGAATAGGAGTGGCATTGGCATATGGCTGACTTTTCATTTTCTTTAGCTACCATGAGAACCTAAATCTGATGACATTGAACTGATATAGCTGGACAGAGTAGATACTAAATTCAGACAAAGTAAATAGTAAACAAAAAAGATCACTCTTCTACAGAAAAGAATGACATCAGACTAAAAGTGTTCAAACAGTAATCATATTGTCCTAATTTCAAAAAAATGCAGTGGAGCCAAGCTCGACTGTTTTGGGTTAAAGAAAACAATAATCACATGATAAATATGTCGAAGGTATTAGTATTAGCTATTTTCATCTGCACATTTTATATATTAAACTCCAATTACTATATATTTTTATTGACCTGCCTTCACACAGCTAGCTTCCTTACCTTCCCAACTGAACATTATTTCCAACATGCCCCCTAGCAACTGGCAGGTCCTCATTGACAATATCTAAAAGGCCAGGAAAGTTAAACGCATGCATTCCACACTAGTCCACACTGTCCAGTCCACAGGTAATGAAATCCCTTACAAGGATATTTAGATAAAATAGAGCCTATTGTTATTTAATACTTCCCGTGTCCCAAAATAAGTGTCTCAACTTTGTACTAACTTTGTAACACACTTATTTTGGGACGGAGGGAGTATATAGGTTACAGTTGTGTAATGCTCTCTGTCGAGCCTGGCAACATGATTCTTTAATCTTGCAGCAAGGCGTGGATAACTACAGTGACCGAAACGACCTTTGATTGGTTGTTAGTTATTATTTGTTTACAATTTCACTTGTTAGGCTCGTGTGCAAGGCTTGTTCAAGCAGCTCGATCAATTCTGTTCGTATATAATTATATGGCTAAAAATGAAGGGTGTGGCTAATAAATTTTTATGTTCTACTTAATTCTAAATTTAGCTATTTCATTCTGAAA